GAGTACGGATGGATAAGACCAGGGTATCATAGAACTTGATATTTTTTACTTCCTGCTTTTTTCCTCTTTCTGGCACGAGCTGCTTCCTGATTGGTTCAGAACTATCTTGAACCGTTTCAACAGTTCTAACAACTCTGCACGTGTGTGTTTGTGTAGAGACGAGTGTGTGTTTGTGTAGAGACGAATGTGTGTTTGTGTGAAGACGAGTGTGTGTTTGTGTAGAGACGAGTGTGTGTTTGTGTAGAGACGAGTGTGTGTTTGTGTGAAGACGAGTGTGTGTTTGTGTAGAGACGAGTGTGTGTTTGTGTAGAGACGAGTGTGTGTTTGTGTAGAGACGAGTGTGTGTTTGTGTAGAGACGAGTGTGTGTTTGTGTAGAGACGAGTGTGTGTTTGTGTAGAGACGAGTGTGTGTTTGTGTAGAGACGAGTGTGTGTTTGTGTGAAGACGAGTGTGTGTTTGTGTAGAGACGAGTGTGTGTTTGTGTGAAGACGAGTGTGTGTTTGTGTAGAGACGAGTGTGTGTTTGTGTACAGTGAAGAAGAGATCATGATGTGTGATTGGTGCTGAAGGTGGTTCGACCAGAGGCAAAGGACTACATTTCCCATGATGCTTCATTCTGCTGCTTTCATGGGACTTTGGAAACAGAGAAATCTACGAAATCTTTTGATGAGAATTGATGACAAGCTGGTGACACACACACACACGTAATCACACAGACAAACACACACCCACCCACGCTGACACACATATAGACACAGACACACATAGACACAGACATGGACACACACAAACACACACACATAGACACAGACATGGACAGACACACACACACACACACACACACAGACACACATAGACACAGACATGGACAGACAGACACACAAACATAAATAGACACACACACAGGCATACGCATAGACAAACACACACACACAGACACACTCAGAAAGAAAGACAGACAAACCTACATAGACACACACATAGACAGACACACACATAGACAGACACACACACACACACACACACACGCACACACACTGTTAGACCCTGGCACTACATTGAATAATCACACACAATCCACTCTTCTTTCAGAAATGTGACACACACACAAACACAGACACACACACACATACACACACACAGACACACACACAGAAGAGCAGTGTGGGATAAACGCACAATAACGTGACGTACAACTGTATGGTTACTCAGAGACGACCGAGTGACGAAGGAAGAGAAAAGCTTTGTTCAAACACTGGGAAAGAAACAGATTTATTCACCGAAAATAACTCAAATATTGCTTTTTTATGAAGTTTCTTTGGTTTGAATGTAGTTTGTCATGAGATTATTTTACTAGTTTTAAGATTCTTCATGATCTTATCAGAGAAAAAAGAGCAGTGAGTTTTTAAGATTATTTAAGAAGTATTTTTTCTTCTTTGTGATGCTGTATTTAAAGAAAACACTCAATGTTTAAGAAATAAGTAAAAAACACTTGAAATGTATGTTTTTAAACTAGAATCAAATCGTTTGGGGCTAGTTTTATTTGATTATTTTTAGATCATTTTTATTATTTTTGTGAATGTTTTAGTAAAAACATGAAGCAGTCGGAGGAAAGGCATGAATGGATTGACGGTGACATAATTGACCGATGGGACCAGTCGGATTTTTCAGGTCGATTGAAAAACAAAGTAATATCTTGAAAATGATCCAAAACATTGATCCAAAAACGGCCAAAAATGAGAAAAAAACCTGGATTTTGAGGCATTTGAAATCTCTGTGGAATAACTAAATACTGTAGCTTTGTCCATTTGACGGATTTAGACTTAAAAATGATTCTGAAAAACACAGTCTTTGGAGAACAAGGCCATCTCCTTTCAAACTCATAGCGTCAAAAATCCAGATGAGGCAGGATTTCACCAAAAACACTCAAAAGTCATTTTATCTCAAAAAAACGATAATGGAAAAAGTTGCGCGGGGCTCGGAATGAGGTTTGGGAGTAACGTCACGCACCATTTAACCCGTTTGGAGTCAGACTAACGGCGGCGAGAGCGACTGAGGCGGGATACAAGTCTGAAGAAGCACAGAAAAACAGAAAGAAATGAGAAAAGTACGAGAGAGAGAGAGATGGGAAATGAAAGTGTGTTTTTGGGGCCGTGGGTCTGAGAGAGAGAGAGAGAGAGAGAGAGAGAGAGAGAGAGAGAGCGGTCTGAGAGAGGAGAGAGAGGAGAGAGGTCTGAGAGAGGAGAGAGAGAGAGAGAGAGAGAGGAGAGAGAGAGAGAGAGAGGAGAGAGAGAGAGAGAGGTCTGAGAGAGGAGAGAGAGAGAGGTCTGAGAGAGGAGAGAGAGAGAGAGAGGTCTGAGAGAGGAGAGAGAGAGAGAGGTCTGAGAGAGGAGAGAGAGAGAGGTCTGAGAGAGGAGAGAGAGAGAGAGAGGTCTGAGAGAGGAGAGAGAGAGAGAGAGAGAGGTCTGAGAGAGGAGAGAGAGAGAGGTCTGAGAGAGGAGAGAGAGAGAGAGAGGTCTGAGAGAGGAGAGAGAGAGAGAGAGAGAGAGAGAGAGAGCGGTCTGAGAGAGGAGAGAGAGAGAGAGAGAGAGAGGAGAGAGAGAGAGAGAGAGGAGAGAGAGAGAGAGAGGTCTGAGAGAGGAGAGAGAGAGAGGTCTGAGAGAGGAGAGAGAGGAGAGAGAGAGAGAGAGAGGAGAGAGAGAGAGGTCTGAGAGAGAGAGAGGTCTGGGAGAGAGAGAGAGAGGTCTGAGAGAGGAGAGAGAGGAGAGAGAGAGAGAGAGAGGAGAGAGAGAGAGGTCTGAGAGAGAGAGAGGTCTGAGAGAGGAGAGAGAGGAGAGAGAGAGAGAGAGAGGAGAGAGAGAGAGGTCTGAGAGAGAGAGAGGTCTGAGAGAGAGAGAGGTCTGGGAGAGAGAGAGAGAGAGGTCTGAGAGAGGAGAGAGAGAGAGAGAGAGAGCGGTCTGAGAGAGAAGAGAGAGAGAGAGGTCTGAGAGAGAGAGAGAGAGAGAGAGAGAGCGGTCTGAGAGAGAAGAGAGAGAGAGAGGTCTGAGAGAGAGAGAGAGAGAGAGAGGTCTGAGAGAGAGAGAGAGGTCTGAGAGAGAGAGAGAGAGAGAGAGAGAGAGAGAGAGGTCTGAGAGAGAGAGAGAGAGAGAGAGAGGTCTGAGAGAGGAGAGAGAGGTCTGAGAGAGGAGAGAGAGGTCTGAGAGAGAGAGAGAGAGAGAGAGAGGTCTGAGAGAGAGAGAGAGGTCTGAGAGAGAGAGAGAGAGGTCTGAGAGAGAGAGAGAGGTCTGAGAGAGAGAGTCTGAGAGAGAGAGAGAGAGGTCTGAGAGAGAGAGAGAGAGGTCTGAGAGAGGAGAGAGAGAGAGAGAGAGGTCTGAGAGAGAGAGAGAGAGGTCTGAGAGAGAGAGAGAGAGAGAGAGAGAGAGAGAGAGGTCTGAGAGAGAGAGAGAGAGAGAGAGAGAGAGAGAGGTCTGAGAGGATGAAGAGAGAAGGGAGAGAGGTCTGAGAGGAGGGAGAGAGGTCTGAAAAGATGTAGAGAGGTTTGAGAGGATGGAGAGAGGAGGGAGAGAGGTCTGAGAGGATGAAGAGAGAGGAGAGAGAGAGGTCTGAGAGGAGGATGGAGAGAGGAGAGAGAGAGAGGAGGGAGAGAGGTCTGAGAGGATGGAGAGAGGAGGGAGAGAGGTCTGAGAGGATGGAGAGAGGAGGGAGAGAGGTCTGAGAGGATGGAGAGAGGAGGGAGAGAGGTCTGAGAGGATGGAGAGAGGAGGGAGAGAGGTCTGAGAGGAGGGAGAGAGGTCTGAGAGAGAGAGAGAGAGAGAGAGGTCTGAGAGAGAGAGAGAGGTCTGAGAGAGGAGAGAGAGAGAGAGAGGTCTGAGAGAGAAAGAGAGAGAGAGAGAGAGAGAGAGGTCTGAGAGAGAGAGAGAGAGGTCTGAGAGAGGAGAGAGAGGTCTGAGAGAGAGAGAGAGAGGTCTGAGAGAGAGAGAGAGAGGTCTGAGAGAGGAGAGAGAGAGGTCTGAGAGAGGAGAGAGAGGTCTGAGAGAGGAGAGAGAGAGAGAGAGAGAGAGAGAGAGAGAGAGAGAGAAGAGAGAGAGAGAGAGAGAGAGAGAGAGAGAGAGAGAGAGAGAGAGAGAGAGAGAGAGAGAGAGAGAGAGAGAGAGAGAGAGAGAGAGAGAGAGAGAGCTCTGCTGCTGTGACCTGAACGACTGTTGCTGATTATTACTATTTTAGTATAGTTAGTTTACTATATAGATTTTCAGAATGATCAATTTAATTTTTTTTTTGCTGCTTCTGGACACGTGCAGTTCTCCAACAGGGATCAATAAAGTATCTATCTATCTACTCTATCTATCTACTCTATCTATCTACTCTATCTATCTACTCTATCTATCTACTCTATCTATCTACTCTATCTATCTACTCTATCTATCTACTCTATCTATCTACTCTATCTATCTACTCTATCTATCTACTCTATCTATCTACTCTATCTATCTACTCTATCTATCTACTCTATCTATCTACTCTATCTATCTACTCTATCTATCTACTCTATCTATCTACTCTATCTATCTACTCTATCTATCTACTCTATCTATCTACTCTATCGATCTCATTATAAAGCAGTATTATCATTTATTGGTCTAACTATGAACCTGTGCGTGGATCATGTTGGACGTGTGAGAAAAGAAAAGTGGATTAGTTATTTTCCTGCATAGTTCCCAAACCGTCACAACATTCTTTGACATTCTCTCCAAAACCACTGGACCGGGCTGGGCCGGGCCGGGCCGGGCCGAGGAGATGTGGAAATAAGCGAGATGTTGATTTGTACAGAAATCAAACCAACTCTGTCCTGATGCATAAAACCGTTTCTCCGACTCTCGCTCTCGTTCAGAAGCGTCTCTTTTCTTTTCCCACGTACAAAAAAATATCCTATGAGTTTGTGTCAGTAGTGGGGGGGGTCCCGTGGGGGGTCCCGTGGGGGGCCAGTCCCGGAGCCTGGTCCTGTCAGAGGCGCTCGATGTCTCTGTATTTCTTGCGGAGGATGGAGACCTGGTCCTTGAACAGAACCGGGTCCAGTCTCATCTGGGAGTGGACCAGCGGCATGGCGCCAAACCAGCTGGAGAACTTATTCATGCAGCTCTGTCTCTGCGCAAAGTGGTCCGGGTCGGCCCAGCGAGACGCCCGCGAAGACTGTGGAAGGAGGAGAGAGAAGAGGAGGAGGAGGAGGAGGAGGAGGAGGAGGAGGAGGAGGAGAAGAAGGAGAAGAAGAGGAGGAGGAGGAGGAGGAGGAGGAGGAGGAGGAGGAGGAGGAGGAGGAGAAGAAGGGAGAAGAAGAGGAGGAGGAGGAGGAGGAGGAGGAGGAGGAGGAGGAGGAGAAGAGAGAAGAGAAGAGAAGAGAAGAGAAGAGAAGAGAAGAGAAGAGAAGAGAAGAGAAGAGACGAGAAGAGAAGAGAAGAGAAGAGAAAAGAAGAGAAGAGAAGAGAAGAGAAGAGAAGAGAAGAGAAGAGAAGAGAAGAGAAGAGAAGAGGAGAAGGAGGAGAAGAGAGAGAGGAGGAGGAGGAGGAGGAGGAGAAGAGAAGAGAGAAGAGAAGAGAGAAGGAGGAGGAGGAGGAGGAGGAGGAGAAGAGAAGAGAGAGAGGAGGAGAAGGAGGAGGAGGAGGAGAAAAGAGAGAAGAGAAGAGAGAAGAGGAGGAGGAGGAGGAGGAGGAGGAGGAGGAGGAGAAGAGAAGAGAGAGAGGAGGAGAAGGAGAAGAGAGAGAGGAGGAGGAGGAGGAGGAGGAGGAGGAGGAGGAGAAGAGAAGAGAAGAGAAGAGAAGAGAAGAGGAGAAGGAGGAGAAGAGAGAGCGGAGGAGGAGGAGGAGGAGGAGAAGAGAAGAGAGAAGAGAAGAGAGAAGGAGGAGGAGGAGGAGGAGGAGGAGAAGAGAAGAGAGAGAGGAGGAGAAGGAGGAGGAGGAGGAGAAAGAGAGAAGAGAAGAGAGAAGAGGAGGAGGAGGAGAGAAGAGGAGAAGAGGAGGAGGAGGAGGAGGAGGAGGAGAAGAGAAGAGAGAGAGGAGGAGGAAGGAGAAGAGAGAGAAGGAGGAGGAGGAGGAGAAGAAGAGAAGAGAGAGAGAGGAGGAGGAGGAGGAGGAGGAGGAGGAGAAGAAGAGAAGAGAGAGAGGAGGAGGAGGAGGAGGAGAAGAGAGAGAGGAGGAGGAGGAGGAGGAGGAGGAGGAGGAGAAGGAGAGAGAAGAGAGGAGTGAGAGAGGAGAGAGGAGGAGGAGGAGAGAGGAGGAGGAGAGGAGAGGAGGAGGGTGGTAGGCGAAGAGAGCGAGGAGGGCGAGGCGGAGGAGGCGCGAGAGAGCGCGAGGAGAGGAGGCGGCCGAGCGATGCGGCGAGAGACGCGAGGAGCGCGATCTGTGCGCGGGATGGCGCATCCGTGTGATGTGTTGGATAAGGAGAGACGAGACGGAGCCAGAAGATGGAGGTAGCGGAGCAATCCGCAGAGACACGGAGACAGGCGAAGCCGTAAGAAGGCGACGGGTGAGAATCGTCGTAGAGCAGCGAGAAGCGATGACGAGAGGCTGTAGATCAGCGTGAACGATGTCAGAGATACGGCAGTGATACGTGTAGAAGAAGAGGTGAAGAGGATAGCGAAGAGTAGGAGAAGGGAATGGATGAACAGAACGATAGAAAAGAGGAGGAGAGAGAAGGAGAAAGGTTAAAAATCAGTTTTCACTGACACACAACGTTCAAAGTATTTCACACATGTTTGAATAATGTCTTAAAGAAAGAGCACATGACTCAGAGAGAGCCCTGGAAAAGTCCTGGAAAAGTCCTGGAAAAGTCCTTTTATGTCATATACAGCGAGACGACATCAGACTGTCTTCAACCAATTAGAAAGATCAACATGATTAAGAGCTATTTTTCTTCTTTGTTTTTTTAAAGTTGATCCAAAAATGTGAGTCTGTAGAGGCTCAAAAGTTGGGTAACTCAGCTTTAACTTAAGGTCCAGTTAAAAGACATTTGTGACATTATCGCCAGAGTTGTTTTTACTTCCATCATGGGTTCACGCACCTGTCCCATCATGGTCTCCTTGTACTGCTTCTTCTGCGTGACTTTGATTGGCGGCAGCTTGGTTACCGCGGAGACCAGGAAGTTCATGAGTATGTCCTCGCAGTTGGCGAGCTGGTCCACCATCGTCTTCAAACTCAGCGGCAAGAAATGTGTGTACAGGAAGTGGTAATACCTGCAGCAGAGGGACACGAACACATGATGGAAGTATCAGCAGGAAGTGGTAATACCTGCAGCAGAGGGACACGAACACATGATGGAAGTATCAGCAGGAAGTGGTAATACCTGCAGCAGAGGGACACGAACACATGATGGAAGTATCAGCAGGAAGTGAAGCATCCAGGCCTCACTTTGAGCCAAAGATCTGAGCTGTCTGACCTGTGGTAGTTGTGTGTAGTTGTGTGTCTGACCTGTGGTAGTTGTGTGTAGTTGTGTGTCTGACCTGTGGTAGTTG